GACATTATTTTACATATCCACAATACCATATCACTGTCAAATATTTAACCTTAATACAATATTACATAATATATAGTCCGTATTTAGATTCCTCGGTTGTCCTAATAAAGTCATCTATGGTATTTTTTTTCCAGTACAGGAGCCAGTCAAAGACCCAGCATTGCTCTATCGCTGCAATTAATTTTAGTTTGAACATAATACCCTTCTCTTATGTCTTATAATATTGACATCTTTTAATGAGTTAAAGCCATTTTCTTTGTAGAATTTCCTACAGTCTGGATTTGTCTGATTGTTTCTTTGTGAGTAAATTCAAGTTAAATGCTGTTAACAAGAATCCAACGTAGGTGATGTTACGTAGCTTCTTAAAAGCGAAATTTGGGGGCTGACTCATTAGCTCAGTTTGTTAGAATACAGTGCTGGTAATACCAAAGTTCAGGGTTTGATCCCTATATTGGCCAGCTGCAAAAAAAATAAATAAATAAAACAAAATAGAAGCAAAATTTTACTATTGTTTACATAGGAGTTGAATATTATTTTGTTTGCTTTTATAACATAAAAACACATTTCAAACCATAACAAAATGTATAAAGATATTCTTTATGGTTATATCTGTTTCACATTTAATAAAGGCACTTAATAACTTTTGATTGGATGCACTAAATAACCACCATAAATTCCCTTTTTATCTCCATTAAGCAAAGGTGCCTTTTTGATTATGATAAAGAAACTAGAACTCAGTTTCCTCATTTCATGAAAATGACGAGGTTGGAGTAGACAAGTGTTTATAGACTTTCCTAGCTTTCAAGTTTTATGAATCCATGAATAAGAAATTTATAGTATTGAAAATGAAGTAAATTAAGAAAGGTAAAATTGTGTAACAAAATGTCTTATTAAAATGTTTATTCTTATATATAAATTGACAATGGGCATGCTATTACAATTATTTACATTTCCACACTTACAATTTATACATTACACGATTGTATGCTGTTAAACTCTACACCAATAATGGGTGATTTAAGTTTGGGTTACCTTACTCTCCTTGAAAAAAAGCAGAATTTGTATAGATTATTGTACTTGAGAATCAATATCAAAAGTTAAAAATTCACAGTATAAATTGGGATTCATTTCAACTTACTTGGCAGTAAATAAAATCTAATATTGTTGAATTACAAAAGAGAAAATACTGCTATTAATTTTACAGGCAGTTATTCTATAACAACTTCCATTTTAATAAATGTATAGTCTTTGGTTTTTATTGAATTTTATTGAATTAAATTACCTTCAGGATTGAAAGTTACAGTAATGTCTTCTCATTTTTCCATGGGTGAGAGTACATTCTCAAAATCATTATCAGCACCATTACTACATTGCACATAGCTATAATTGTAAGAAACTTTGAGTTGGAATGATGGTAATATATTTTTTTCTTACAGGAAGCTCTGATCATGGCAAGTATGGACCATCCACACCTAGTCCGGTTGTTGGGTGTGTGTCTGAGCCCAACCATCCAACTGGTTACCCAGCTCATGCCCCATGGATGCTTGTTGGATTATGTCCATGAACACAAGGATAACATCGGATCGCAGCTGCTGCTTAACTGGTGTGTCCAGATAGCCAAGGTAAGTGCCCATCGCTTCCTATGGAAATAACATTTCTGGGTTAATATCTCCTAATCTGAAACAGTTTGGGTATTGAAAACAGGTCAAGGTTTTCATCCTATTTAAATAAAATGAGTTGTGTTTGCTATATTGAAAGATACATGATAGGAATGTACTTACATGCAGACCACAAATCGAACGCACGATACATATTTTTGGATTCCTATATTGTGCCATTCATATTGTATTGATCAGATGCCAAAACAAGTAGGTTACTAGTCAGGGGGACAGAATGTTATGCTGTATTTGTTTGGCTTTTGGTTTGTTTTGGTATAGTCTAGTTAACAAAATCCAAGAAAGAGAATGTTGAATGGCTGAATTGTTTCATATTTAGATGATTTTTTAAAATATTCTGGATGTTCAATTCTCAATACCAGAAATGATCAAACTGAATATTTTCTCAGTCTTTTGATAATTTTCAATTGCTCTTTAATGGGGTTTTTTTGGCCGGAAACAAAGGTTTAGGCACGTAACGTACATAAGTGGTCTGGGTTGATGGGCAAGATGGCTTTGTGGTGAACTACAGAACATCTACTACCCTCTAGGGGACTGTGGTTAGGGAATATTACCGGAGTTAACTCATCTGCCAGTTTTCAAGAGTGGCCAGAATTCTGGATTTTTATGTGAATTCTTCAAATCTAAGTCTTAGCTCAAACTTTTGAAACACTTTGGGAAATAAGCAAAGTATTTATATCCTGTAGTCACCAGTGTGCAACTTCTGGTATACATTCTTTATGTTCAAAGAAACCATTTATGATTATCTATCTTTCTTGAATTTTTTTTTCCTAGAAAAGCAGGGTTGTGATAAGTTTTAATTCAATATCAATTTTTAGTTACATCAAAATATGACTTGATGCTTTATAATTTCCGTAGATATTTTCATCTTTTTATTTTTATGCTGTTAATGCCAAAATAGTAATTTAGTAGTTTGTGCCTGTATATTTTTACAATCTAATAATGAATAGAAGTATATTATCAAAAACAGAAATTTGAGATAATGCTTAAAATGCAAACCCAAAAAATTATTTGTGGGAAAAGCCCAGTTTAGTTCTATATATTATAGGTTTCAATATAGTTTTCTTATGAACTAAGTTTTATAATTTTGTGAATATTTTGTGAC